TCATTCCTAGAGACCGTAAACAGCTTGTCAGTGAGCCTACTTTTCATGCACAAACCAACCAACTTTGAGTCCATACCCACAACTACCTCCTTATCTAACTGTCACATACCAAACCAATATTTCCCCTGTTGTAAGTCAACCCAGGGAGGGCCAGGCACTGGACAATGAGGGGCAGTCGCTACGCCCCCAAAGCCCACTGGAATTATTCAAGCTAGCCAGTCCCGAGCTGTTTACTCTGCCCTGCTTTGCCCTTCGCACAGAAACCCCAGTAAAGGCCGTGCCCTTGAGCTTCTCTTCCCTTTCTGCCTCCTGCCTGACACGGGTGCTTCCCCCGGGGCCCCTCACGGCACCTCCACCTTCTGTTTCTAGGGGCTCTGTAGGTAACACTCAACTGTTCTTTCAGTGGCATTTACTCCCCATCTTGGCAGCCAGTTACCTTTAAAACCTGAGTCAGGCACAGACCACTCCTGAGAGATCCTTATCTAGAACCACCCCACGAAGCCATTCCTGTATACTTGACTCACAGAAACTTCTAGAGATGGTAGATGTTTACTGCAGCAGCTAGGTTTTGGGTAATTTGTTTTACAGCAGTGGATTACTAATGCAGATGGTCATGTGACCTAGTTGTGACGCAAGAGAAAACCTGCCGAGATGCTTCTAGGAAGCTTCCCTGATAAAAGAATCGGAAGGAAGAGAAGAACTCAGGGGAATGGTTACAAGGCTGATGGTTACAGAAGTGATAGCCATCCTGGGACGATGAGGTTCTCAAATATAACGATGAAGGAGTGAAAAAGTAGGAAGAATCCACGTCTTTTATGACATCATTAAGCTGCTGGAACAACTCTGTGGTCTCCTGCATCCAGATTTGTAGACAAGAAAACAATACATATTAGAGTAGGAAATGGCAACCCACTCCAGTATTCTTGCCTGGAACAAACTATGGGTAGAGGATCCTTGGCGGGCTACACTCCATGGAGTCCCAAAGAGTCGGATGTGACTTAGTGACTGAGCACAAACAATAAATACTTCTGTAGTTTGAGCCACTGTGTCCTACAACTTGCAGCTTAATGCATCTCTAACTGATAGAATGTGCATGCCCAATAGCATCTCACTCCGTGGGAGTAACTTTATTCAATGACTTCATTATCTAGAATCTGAAATGGACCGAAAAGGATATCTGAGCACCAAAACCAGCATCACAGTGTCTACACCAAGTTTACTCTTAGGCAAGCTTTCTGCATCTTCACTCATGGCCTTTTAACTTTTACTTTTCATATGTAATAACAAGCTTTCCCCCCCTTATTTTGTGGCTGCACCACATGCATATGGGATTTTTTTTTTTTTTTCTTTCCAAGTCTATTATTCTGATGGCTTCCACAAAGTTAAATCTGGGTAAAAGTGGGCTGTCTTTATCCTTGTTCTCATATGGGATCTTTTCTTAGTTCCCTGACCAGAGATCAAACCCGTGCCCCCTGTGGGGAAGGATAGACTCTTAACCATCGGGCCACCAGATTAGAAATCCCGCTAACAAACTTTTCCAGGGCACGTTCCCAGGCCATAGCTTGGAAATCAAATTCAATTCCATAATCAATCATCTGCTACATACAAAGCCCTGCAAGAGTCACCATGTATGCAAAGCTGAGTTTCAAGCTGGAGAGCAACAGGATTCAAACTTGAGCTGCAATGTAGAGGTTGCAGCAAGCCTGGAAAAAAGAAAAGAGAACACTTTCTAGTGGAGTGTCAATTTATTAAGGAAGCATATATTTAAAATTATTTCCCATGGAAAATTCCATCTACAGGGCAAATCACTCTAACTTTTCTTATTTGTTGCTAATACTGGTTTCCAAAATACTTGTCTGTTTTGACTTTCTGAACCCCGTAAAAGTTTTTAGAAATGAAATAATGTGCCAGGCCTGAGTTCTGAGGAGATGCAGCAGTTCTAAGCTATGCTGAAGCACGATTATTCTGCCTCTAGACCACATAGAATCTAAGGCCCGGGGGAAGAAAAGGAACAGCTCAGTAAACTAGGGGCAGAGTGAGGACTAGAACCCAGGACTGTGTATTTTCCCTTTCTCCGGGCAATGAGGAAGGCAATGCTGATTCCTTCAAACCACTCAAACATTTCCTCACAAGAGGAGCTGAGCCTTGACCCAGTGCTGCGAGCTCCCCTGGGGTCAGGAAGCTCTGCCTCTCCAGGATTTCCTGTGTGTGGGAACGAAACAGGATGAGCAGATAAATCCTCTGAGGCTTATTTGCAAGTGTGTGAAGCCTTCTCCTTGGTGAATCTGCAGCAGCCCTGGCCAAGTGGAGCAACCCGCTGATGTGTTTTGTGTGTTTCTAAAAGTAACAGGAAAAAGATGACCTGCACCATGAAGCGCAAGGCTGGACATGGCAGGGAGAAGAGCATGGGCCACTGCCCCTGCCCCGGAGAGCAGCCTTGGTGTGCGTTCTCCCAGAAATGGCCTCTACGACAAGCATTTAAGAGCAAGTAGCCCATCTTGGAGGTAGTTCCAGGGCATCTTTGTAGGGGAAGGGCGGAAGGTAGCCAGTAAAGAGAACATTGTCCAGGCAGTTGCTGTGATGGGAAACCAGAGGTCAGGGACTCTGAGAGACAGGGTAGAGGAGCCTCACTTAGCCCAGCGCAGGGGCGAGGGAGCTGAGATACCCGTCCTTTGCTGACTGAGGTCTGAGGCGTGGGGGTGGAGGGTGGGGTGAGTGAGAGGGGTAGGAGCCAACTCTCAGGGCACTTCCGGCTTGCCTGCGTGCAGACCTCCAAAGCGCCCCTGGGTCCAGAACAATGCCCTTCCCCAGAAGCAGCCTTTGTTGAATCCTGTGACTGTCAGGGGGATATGGGTGGTGTCTGCTCCGGGGTCTCAACAGTAATTGGTTTTACACTCACAGGAAAAGACAGACACAGGCCCAGGAGGCCTGCCTCCCCCTCCCCGTGTGAGGGCGTGGAGGGTGTGTACAGTGCAATAATGGGGGCTTCTGCCTGTCCAGGCCCCCGTCACCACTTTTTTCTCGTACCCACTGCCACACACGCACCTGGTCTGCCTGAACATCCGCGTCTTCCTCTTCTATACACAGTGAGACCACATCTCCCAGCCTCCCTTGCGGTTAGGAGGGTCATGTGACTAATTCCAGCCAATGAAATGTGAGCAGAAGGGACACGCATTTCTTTCTTTTTTTTTCCGGTTGTTTTATTTTTATTTTATTTTATTTTATTTTTCATTTATTTTTATTAGTTGGAGGCTAATTACTTTACATCATTGCAGTGGTTTTTGTCATACATTGAAATGAATTAGCCATGGATTTACATGTATTCCCCATCCCGGTCCCCCCTCCCACCTCCCTCTCCACCCGATCCCTCTGGGTCTTCCCAGTGCACCAGGCCCGAGCACTTGTCTCATACATCCAACCTGGGCTGGTGATCTGTTTCACCCTAGATAATATACGTGTTTCGATGCTGTTCTCTTGAAACATCCCACCCTCGCCTTCTCCCAGAGTCCACAAGTCTGTTCTATACATCTGAGTCTCTTTTTCTGTTTTGCATATAGGGTTATCGTTACCATCTTTCTAAATTCCATATATATGTGTTAGTATACTGTAATGGTCTTTATCTTTCTGGCTTACTTCGCTCTGTATAATGGGCTCCAGTTTCATCCATCTCATTAGAACTGATTCAAATGAATTCTTTTTAATGGCTGAGTAATATTCCATGGTGTATATGTACCACAGCTTCCTCATCCATTCGTCTGCTGATGGGCATCTAGGTTGCTTCCATGTCCTGGCTATTATAAACAGTGCTGCGATGAACATTGGGGTGCACGGGGACACGCATTTCTTACAGACTTAGGCCACTGAAACCTTCTAGATACTCTTCTGTTTCTCCTTCCCTCTCAAGGTGACCTGGCAGGCCACGTGACGTGGGTGATGGGCTGTTTTCCGTGGTCCTGGGAGGAAGACGGTATCACACAAATCACTGCACAAATGACTATTGCTAGTTAGCTCTAAGAAGGAGAGAGTTTAGGTGCCTTGGGCACTTTGGTGATCCAGGCAGAGGACACTGCGTGGGCAAAGGCCTTGAAGCAGGAAGCAGGAAGCCAAAGCGAGCCTGTGTGACTAGAGGTAATGAGCAAGGGAGAGTGGCTTAAGAGGGAGATGGCTTAAGATAAAGAGTGGCTTGTATCATGATCCTTATACAAGATTCACGGGTTTGGGGGAACAATTTAATGGGCATGGCCCAGACACCTCCTTGGCAGCCTCCTCACTCTCCCTGGGGGTAGAGCACCAGTTTAAGAAACCAGATTGTCAGACACGTCCCTGGTGGTCCAGTGGCTGAGACTCTGTGCTCCCAACGCAGAGTGCTGGGATTCCATCCCTCCTCAGCGAACTAGATCCCACAAACCACAAGTAAGAGTTCTCATATCACAACCAAAGATACCACATGCTGCATTTTCAATGAAGACTGAAGATCTCGGATGTGGCAACTAAGACCCAGTGTGGCCAAATAAACAAAATAATTAAAAAAATTTTTTAAACAAGGAAACCAGATTATCCAAGGGGAGTCGAACACAGAAACTCAGAATCTAGGTGTATGTGTGGTTTGGATGGTCATGGGGTTCACAGAGCCCCGTGTCTGGAGTCCCCTGTCCCAGAGTCAGCGCCCACTGCTTGGTCTGCGGTGGGGGAGGGGCTTTCCTGTCACCTCAGAAGATTGTTTGTGGGTCACAGGGCCTGAATTTGGTGAGTCTTGAAATCAGCTGGGCCAGGCCCTCTGGTGAGCCGGGTCTCTCTTATCGTATCTAGAGAGATGACTCCAGTATCAACAATTTAGTCTCTTCTTACGGGTTAGCCAGGAACCGCACCACGTTGTTTGGCTAAACCTTGAGTAAGGACGGACTTAATAATGAACTGTTGGGCCAGCGCTACTTGCTTGAACTCCGGGGCTGTCTTTTGCCTGCCGCACCCTCTCCCCCAGAGCAGTGTCCTCTCGGGAAATGCAGCTGACCGGGCTGCATCCGTGGGAAGGCCTGGCCCTGCTGAGGCTGCAGGAAATGACCCTCTTAGCAGCCACGAGCTGTGATCCAGAGGACAATGAGAGGGGGACGGAAGCCTGTTTGTCCCAGCCGGCTTGTCCCTTTGGGTGTGCGCCAGCTGCTGGAAAACACAGCCCTGAAGATTCAGTGAGGGAAAAAAAAGAAACATTTTTAAGAGAACTAACAGACCCTCCTATGGGCTTTAGCCAACTTCAGAGGTGCTGAGGGGTTTTGTTTTCTTTATTGGTGTGTGTATGGGTGTGTGCTTTTAAAACATAAACAAGACATAATCAGAGAATCTAAGTTTTGGAAGGTGAGCTGTCCCACCCAGGCAGAAGGCCCCTGGTGGCATCTGTCTTCGTGTGGCTGGGTCCCGCCTCTCCACACTGCTGTTAATATCATCACTTGGCTCTGGTCACTGTCTCCACCCCATCTCCACTTACCACCTAGAATCCAGAGAGATCTCAAATGCAAATCAGGTCAACCCCTCTTGGACTCTGCAGGCTGGCCCTGTCTCTCCACCTATCACCTGTAATGCCACCTCCTCCAAGGGGCTTCCTGGCCACTGTCTATGAAATGGCATCTCTTAACGGTGCTCTCTCATAGCACCCATCACAGTGAACCCCATTCAGAATGCTCTGGCTCGTTTACACATGCCAGGCACATAGTAGGCACTCAATGTGTGCTAATCGACTGAATGCTTTTCAGTGGTTGTTGCATTCACATCAGAGTTGGCTGAGAGAAGCCAGATTTTACTGTATTTCAACCAACATTATTGAGTATAAATTGTGTTCCAGGGCTGGGAGGCAAATCGATCAGGAATTCCGCTCATTCTTTCATTTGTTGAGGAGCTTCCCTGGTGGCTCAGTGGTAAAAGAATCTGCCTGCCAAGCAGGAGACATGTGTTCCATCTCCAGGTTGGGAAGATGCCCTGGAGAAGGCAACACCTGTTCCAGTATTCTTGCCTGGGAAATCCTACGGACAGAGGGGCCTGATGGAATACAATCCATGGGATTGCAAAGAGTCGGACATGACTGAGTGGCTAAACAAGAACAACAAATGCATTTGTCCACTTGGAGAGGAGAGCCCTGAGTGAACAGTGATTCAGTCAAGGGGTGCAGAAAACTTCACGGAACAGGGCATGCGAGGTGGGCTTGCCGTCAGAAGGAAAGCCAGGTGGGGTGGAGGAGGGTGTCTCACTGGAAGGAAGTGCAGAGGTTTGGGAGCTGACAGTGAATGAGTTTGGAAAAGGAAGAGCACTGTGGAGTGTGGGATTTAATTTATTCCCACTTTGGAAGCCCAGAAAAGGCTGGGACCTGGTTTTCACCTAGGACAGCAGGGGAGGACATTCCACCTTGTTTAAACAATAAAGAGAGGGATGTGCGTGGCTGCGGTGAGAGACAAAGCTCTTCTGTGGCTGTGGAGGCCTTGAATGCCGTGCTGAGTAGTCTGACTTTTCATCCATAGGCAACAGAATCTAATAAAAATAATCTGTTTTTTTTTTCTTGGTGCACGGCTTTTGAGATCTTAGTTCCCTGACCAGGGATTGAATCAGAACCCTCAGCCGTGAGAGCGTGGAGTCCTAACCACTGAACCACCAGGGAATACCTCTAAAAATAATCACTTTGGGAAGTCTGTTTTAAGAGCCTAGATGTCATCGGCTTCTGAACTGCAGTTCTCTATCGATGCAGACAACCTCAGGATACTTCCAGAAAATAGAGTGGCCCCATCCTGGAAGAGTCTGATTCTCTGTAAGTCAGAGTTAGGGCCTGGTCCCTCAAATTTTCACTTTTCCGTGGTGGTCTCATCATTCACGGGGTGTGGTGACTAGTAAGGCTCAGAGAGGTAAAGGCATTTGCCTAAGGTCACCCAGCCAGACAGGAGCAAAAGGGACTTTTTTTTTTTTTTTTTGCAAAAGGGGCATTTTGAACCAGGTCCTCCACTTTGTATCGGCAGCCTCTTCCGGATGAGCTCCTTTCTTTCCAGTTTTATTTTCCCCTGAATGCAAGAATCTGGGCCATGGCTGGGTCCGCCCGCTCCCGGCTCCCAGCCTCAAAGGTCAGGTATCTCCCAGCTTCCCGCGGGCATGTCCATTTATGGTTCTGTTGTTCCAAAATGTGGCCAAATTTATAAACTCCTCTTTCCCGAAGCCATGAAGCAATTTGTACGCAGAGTGCAGTGCGGGGGCAGAGCTGGGAGCTCCCTCCGAAGCCTGGACTTCAGCCCAGGGCCCGGGCCCAGTGAGCTCTGGCATTGAGAGGGACCCAGACCCTCCCTGGGCCTCAGTTTCTCCACTGACAGAGCAAAGGAACTGGACTAGATCACTCCATAAACCCTGAGTATAGACACTTCCAACTTACTGCTTACAGATGCCAATTCCTAAATCCCTGGGCCTGATAACTGTAAAAGGAGGTGTTGGAGGATGGAGTGCATGCAGCCTCTGGCCTCTCTCCTTCGAATTGCTTTCTTTTCTTTCTTTTTCCTGCTTGATTTTTTTCTTCTGTTTTCTTTTTTTTTGGCTGCACGTGGGATCTTTAGTTCTCCCACCAGGGATCAAACCCGAGACCCTGCATTGGAAGCACAGAGTCCTAACTGCGGGACTGCCAGGGAAGTCCCTACAATACATTGTCTTTTGCATCTGACTTTTTTTTCTTAGTATAACTGGAGGTTCATCCATACTGGAGAGTATATCGTCTTTTTTTTATTGGCTACTCTTCCATTGTATAGATATTTTGCTTTGTAAAGACATTGTATAGACATTTTACTTATTTACCAGCCGATGGACAGTTGGAATGCTTCCAATTTGGGGCTATTGGGAATAACATTGCTATAAATGTTTACACCCAAGTCTTTGTGTGGGCATTTGTTCTCATGTCTCTTGGGTGGACACGATATTCCCAGTCTTTTAAAGCGCTGTGGTATCCTCCATTGGCGGGACACATTCTGATGTTATCATCAGTCCCCTATCTGTGGATACTTAGGATGTTTCCAAGCTCACAGACTTTGCTGCTCTGAGCTGCTTCTTGCACCCATCTTTGGGCACATGTGCAAGGAGAGAGAGCTGAGTCAGAGAGGATGTACAGTTTACATTTTTACAAATCCCCACCCTCCCCATGATAGTCTTGCCTCCTTTTCAAATGGACAGGACATGATGAAAGAGAGAATCTACTGTAAAGATACCACCCTCTCCACCCAACCCACTGAGCTTGAGGGACCGAAATGAAGTCGCTCAGTCGTGTCCGACTCTTCGAGACCCCGTGGACTGTAGCCTACCAGGCTCCTCCATCCATGGGATTTTCCAGGCAAGAGTACTGGAGTGGGTTCCCATTTCCTACTCCAGATCTTCCCAACCCAGGGATTGAACCCGGGTCTCCCGCATTGTAGGAAGACACTTTACCATTTGAGCCACCAGGGAAGACTCAAGTATGATCTGTCTCTTGAGGGACTGGACAAGGAGAAAAAAGGCTGCTTCTGGAGAAAAGTCCTAGGACAGGGCAGTCCCAGGATGGCTGAGGCCAGGAAGGAGGAGGCAGAGGCTTATATAGGGACTAGAACCCTTCCCCCTAAACTTCTCCTTTGCAGGGCAGGTACGTAAAGAGCTCTCAGTTGCTGAGGGTATGCAGAGACTGGCCAGCCATGTGGCAGGGGCTATAAAGAAATTTTCAAAATCTGATGGGGGTGGGGTGGGGCAGGTACTTCTCGGGTGGCTCAGTGGTTAAGAATCCATTTTCTAATGCAGGGGACATGGGTTGAGTCCCTGGTTGGGGAACTAAGACCCCACATACTGTGGGACCACTAAGCCTGTGTGCTTCATCAGATAAGCCAGCGAGCTACAGCGACTGAGCCCACATTCTCTAGAGCTTGTGCTCCACAAGAAAAGCTCTCTCACCACAACGAGAAGCCCTAGTGTTACAATTAGAGAAAGCCCACATGCCGCAAGGAAGACCCAGTGCAGCCAAAAAAAAAAAAAAAGAAACTGATAAAGAACTGGGCTGCATGGCTTCTAAGACAGCCATGTGGTTGCAGGGTTAAGAATGTGGTGGATTTTGCTAGTAAGGACCCTTGGTTTAAACCCCAGCTGCTGTTTCCTAGCTCTGTGATGCTGAGTGCGTCCAGCCTAAATTCAGTGCCTCCAGCCTCAGTTCTCTTAGCTGTGAAATGGGGATAGGATTCTATCTCCCATAGTCAGTGGGGAGATGTCAGTGATGTCATGTGGGCGGGGCTCAATTTGGGGACCTGTGATTATGACTGTCTTGATCCTGTGATCCTGGGCTAATCTGCCTCAGGAACTGGGCATTAGAGGACAGTGACGTGTGCCCAGTAGCCTCCAGAGAAGGAATGCCCTGAACAACCCTCACAGCCTTTATTTACATCTAGGCCCTCCCTATTCCAGCCATGTGACCTTGGGCAAGGATGTCATCTGTAACTTGATGTCCTCATCTGTACGACAATAACAATACCAACCTCATAGGGCTGTTGGGCAGGGAGAATAGGTTAAAACTTCAGGTGACAGAAAATCCCAAAATAACAGTGGCTTACCCAAGAATTGTTTCTGTCACCTCTAGAGATAAGTAGGCGAGAAATGCAGAACTGGTGTGACAGCTCCCTGGAGTAGTTAGGGATCTAGTTACCAGCTCTTCCAACCTCAGTATATAGCTCTAACCCTCACAATCCAACAGAGCAGCCAGGGATCCAGTCGTCACATCTATATTCAAAAAGGAACATGGAGGAAGAGGGGGCAAAAGGCCAAAGAATATGAACCAGTCCTTGAAGGTTTCCGCCACTGTCCCCAGACAGTTCCACTTATGTCTCATTGACCAGAACTCTGTCAAGTAGCTACACTAGTGTTTAGGGAGAGAGGAACAGATATAGGATAGATAGGGAACAGCTTTGTTTCCTCCAGCACTCATGGAACCATTATTCCAACTCCTCTCACCAGAGATTTATCTTGCCTGGTCTAGAACTTTATACAAATGTCATCACACAGAACATTCTCTTGTATCTGGCTTATTTCATTCCACATTATGTTATGAACTCTTGAATTTTTTTTTTTTAATCTCCCTCCATTCAGAAGGAGACATTCATCAACATTTGGTCTTTCATTAATTTCTTCCATCACTGAGTCACTCATTCAACAGATATTTCGTGACCCCTTACTATGTCGGGAGGGCTGGCCAAACACAATCATTCATGGCAAAGGCTGATGAACTCTGAGTCT